CTCAAATAAGGGAAACTGAAGGGCAATGCTATCCCAGGCATAGAGGCTTAAACTCAGTCCTACCGTACCTCACTGGTACATCATCCTGTACTCTGAAATTACTCTCTTTCCTGGAGTGAGCTTCAAGATCTTAAAAGTAACACCAGGTAAACCCAACCCAGACCAGGATATGTTGCCATCAAGTTGGCTAGTTCCAAAACAGTAGTAGTGCTACTGCAGCCAATGATTCCTTGGAATACAGACATGTTAAAATTACATTGGCAGCAGCATTGGCTCTTCTCTCTCACCCTCTGCTGTTACTATACCTCCTTTTGCTAAATCTGCCTCTGAGTTTAGACAGGAGCTGGATGGTTCATAATCACCCAGCAGCTGCAGCTGAGCAATACTCAGGCTAATTGTGGCGCTGAAGCAGCTGAGAGGAAGAAAAGCGGTAATACATACCCCACCATAGACACACACAAACTGCCGTACACACTACCAATAAGATAACAAAATACTTTAATAGGAACAGATTATTTCCTTTAAAGAAAGGCAGTTATACCTTGCTAGAGGAACTTGTATTTGTATTATAGATCTATTTAAATGTGAACTGAAGATGACCTAAGCCATGTAGGGTTAACAATGGAAGATCTTAACTAAAACTTCCTGTAAATATTCATGTAACAAAGCCAGCACCACAAACATCACCTTCATAACATGACTGAAAGTTCCTGTGATATAAGAATTTGGCACAGATGTGATCCCTTCCTTCACTCTACATTACAAAATGCCAACAACTAAAAGCTATCAACAACTAAAACAGCAAGCCTTACATAAAACAAGAAAAGTAGCATAATGCAATGATTCTCAGCATTTTTGAAACTCCAATGCCATATAGTACTTTGCTTTCTTTTGAAACAAAACATACTCCTTTAGGTGTTATAAGACACATCTTCATTTAACTTAAGGAAAAACATATTTTATGCTCAGAATTTCATGACATCCTTAAGAGTATCAAAACTAAGAATATCAAAACTGATCTGAAGTATTACTATTCCAGAAAACTGAATATGGATAAAAGTCAAGACTTTACCTTGATGCCATAGTTAATTCTGAGTTTTAACTGTTACATTATATAATTTTTTGTAAAATAAAGTGTATTTAATACTTAATGACCCAACAGTATCCATTAGTTTAACCCTTTGCACTCCGCTGTCCCCTCTCAGGGGACATCGGAATTCTAGCATATCACTCGGATGTCCCCTCTCAGGGGACATTGCAGTTCATTAGTGATTACGGGGAATTGAGTTATTTCAACGCAACTTTTTGAGACATGCATGTTTCCCTGAAGTTTTATCTTGAAATGGCACAAGAAATTAAATCAAAATATCGTAAAATTACTAAGATATATACAAGAAATGTCAGCGGGTTTTGTGTCGGATTAAACAATAAACTACATATTCCCGATGTGGGACAAAGAAAATGGGACTGCATTGTGTGTTCTAACAGGAAAACACCTGGTGGCAGGCGTCAAACCACTTATTACTGTCAAACATGCACTAATCAGCCTGCAATGCATATTGGAGAGTGTTACAAAACTTATCATACTGTACAAAATTATAAACAATAAAATATTATTTTTTTTGCAAATATACATTCCTCGATGTCACCCAATTCATATAAGTCCAATATCATTATAATACGTTACTTGGTTCCAAAATTATACTAAATAATACGAGGGTCTGTAAATGCACGTTTCCGCCGCAAAGTAGCGTCGAGTAGCTGGTAGCCAATGTCCAGAATGGTTCGGAGTGCAAAGGGTTAATAAACATATTTTGATACCTACTAATTGTCACATATAAAAGCTAAAGAGGATTTAAAGTTAGTAAAAACCTGGTGTCTTCTCTCAAAATATTAACATGTTATTTATATGTCAAAGAAGTTGCATGCACTAGCTGGATATAATAATTATTATTTAATAAGTCTAAACCTGTTTGCAAAGGACAATTTAAGAGTATTCTAAAGTCAGTCACCAAATGTTAAGTCATTTATTTAAATACCTTATATAAAATAGGTTACACACAGGCTTCTTTAAAAAAGAAAAAAGTTTTATGTAAACTACAACACAGATACAGAAAAGCACACAGAACAAATGTATGGCTTAATGATTTATACTAAGGCCAACACCCTTGCAAACACCACCAGGTTAAAAGAACTTTGCCACCAGTTAAGAAGCTGGGTCTCCAATGACAACTTCCTCCCTCCTCCCATACCTTTACTTCTGTAGAAATCACTTCCTTGCAGGTTTTAAAAAATACATATAGATTTATCACCCAAGTTTGTATTCCTAGGCAAAGTTTAGTATTGCTCTTTTAAATTTTTTATAGTAGTATAATTAAGCTTCTTCTTAGCATAATGCTAGTAGAAACTAATGATGTCTACACTGAACATGAGATTGAGAGTTAAATACATTTATAACGAAAAATTATTCACATTAATAAAATACTATCTAAAAAGACACAGCGTTAAACTTTGTATAAACAAGTCTTATACCATGTGCTAGTAACATTTCTCTTATACTGGGTCACTGCTAGTCATTTAGAATATTTATTCTTCTAACACTACATACCACAAAGGAAATTTATTTGCATGGACACTGACTTTTGTTTGTTCTTTTGTTTTTGGTGATGAAACCAGGGAACAAACCAGGGATGCACAGACATTGATTTTGTAGCTTGAGAATTTCCGGAATTTAAAAAAAAACAAACACAAAAAAACTGAAACCATGTATTAACATTATACTTCAGTCATAAGACAAATTCCACCTATCCCAGGAAGATAAGTCAAAGCTGTAATTTCACTTTCGGTTGAACAGAAAGGATTCAATTTTGTGGTTTATGAAGTCAGCAAGAACATACTGCAAAATTAAAGCTAATATAACATTATGGTGGCTATAGCAGACTACACACTTTAAGAGCCCTTCTACCTTTATTATTCTGAAAACATAGATACGAACTGTCTTGTATTCAGATTCAAATGAAAGGCAATTGGTTTGTTTTGTTTGTCTGTTTGTTTCAAATTTAGGAGCCTAGGAATTGTCAACCAGCATTCAAAATCTCCACTGAGGTTTAGCTAATGTCCAAAAGTTCTTTCTTACGGAACAATATATGAAAACCACCTATGTCATGATGTACACAGGATCCTTGGCTTCTAATCTCAGGCGCTCCTTCACTACCTGTCCATTCAAAACGCTTCCTGGCCACTGCGTGCCAAGTCCTGCAGCGAGTTCAGATATTAAACTTACCATGCTCGCCTTAAGGGCACAGCCAAGCGTACACACTTAGTCATATTTTCCTCCGTGTGTAATTTAACATTAGAAACTTAACTAGATGGTTTAAATACCCTTAGGATTATCAAGACACCGTTAGTACGGCAATCCTCCGGTTACAATACACACACACACTATAATCATATACATGCACAGGTGAAAGCACCTACGGGAACACACACCGGTGGGACATATACACATCATAAGCCCCATGAACATAAAGCTGTGATCCCACTAGACGAGAGGCTTTTCATTTCTTTAATTTATAAATGGCTAGTGTATTACTCCAAGCCTGCTTCGATTAATTACGCAGAAAATAACTCAACCAAATCCAAACGCTGCTGTCTCTCACTCGCTACACAACGAAATTAAAGCAGTCCCTACGCCGGGCTCGGTTCTTCAAACAGCGCTGCCCTGCCCCAGTACAGCCAAAGCTGGAAGCAATTATCAGGAAGGAAAACACACTTTAGAGCAAAATTCTCTGTACCCTGTGGACAGAGGCGACGGAGTGGCACAAGACCGTACAAGTGCACGGTTTGAATGGCATATTTCCCAGCCCCCAACACATAACAAAGGGAAACTTTAACATGTTGTGGTTTTCAATCAAACCCAGGGGAGCGCGAGGCTCACCCACCCGCCCCCCCCCACACACACACCCTCGTCGGCCCGGGTCTTTTGGGCGCAGCTGCCGCCGGCGCAGGTCCGCACTCAGACCCCG